AAGAGATTAACACTCTTACCTTGAGATTTCTGAGCTAGACTAACAAGACTACAAAGCTATCTCCTTTTTTGATTTTGTGTTGACAGTAAAAATGAGAGAAAGAAGAAGAAGAATGAGACAAAAGAGTGAAGAAAAATATGAGTGCCAATCGTGACCCCAGCAACAATTAAGGGGAACCAACCTTTCAAATATTTAAGGGTAAAATTACCTCCTTGGTCCTCCTTCCTTTGTTATTAAATCAAAAACATCATTTTTATCATCACTTGGGCTCAATTCAATCCCAAACCTACAGAACTTTTGGGTCAAGTCTTCTTAATAGGTTAATAGGTTATCCTAAACTCTCTTGAGTTAGTCCAAAACTATTAACTCGAGATTTGAGGCGTTACATTCTTATTCATTATCTTCTCGAACTATAATTGACAAATTCTTTGACTTCATATTTTCCAAGAACAATCTTTTTTCCTGTGAATGCATCGTCTTTCTTCTTATCACAAAAATACATTGGAGCAATACATTTTATATACATTTTATCTAATATAGTAACTGATTATGCTTATCAATTAATGTAAACCAATTATGTACATTGAAGTAATACATTGAAGCAAAATATTGAAGAAATATATTAAAGCAATACTTCTCAAAACGATAACTATAATTTACACTTTATCCAATATACTAACTAATTGTAATAATTTCTCCATTTCATAAAAATTTCAATTACAACCTATAATGATACAATTGAACCCAACATTTTCCATTCAACTTATAATTTTACATTGTACTTGATTTATTAACTCCAACCTATAATATTTTCCACGCAACATATAAAGTATTGACACCTTTTTTTATCAATATCGGTCCCTAATACAACACCTAAACCTAAAACCCTAAACTTTAAACTCAAAACCCTAGACATAAAATCATTAATTAAAAAAATTTACAAAATAGGGTTTCACAAACATACATATATGCTCTTTAAATTGTGATTTCATTTGTGTTCACACCCTTTCTATGAAGTATCGATATCAATTACTCATATGGAAGTTGGATTTTAGATAAGAAAACCCTTTTTTATTCAAGTAATGGTATTTCCCTTCCCTAAATTGGTTATGTTATCTATAAATCGATACTTTTTCCCTAAGTATTGATATTTATGGAAAAGTTTGATACTTTGCATCCTTTTCATTTTTTATGTTATTTTAAATTCGAAAGTATCGATATTTTTGTAAAAGTTCGATAATTGTCAGCCTTCCAAATTTCCATGTCTTTTCAAATTCGATGGTATCGATATTTATGTAAAAGTATCGGTATTTATGTAATAGTTGAAAACTAATATATTACATATAAAAATAAGACACAACATATTACTTTACCATCACAACCAGATTTCTTACAGGTTACTATAATATAAACGATTAAAGTCTTATAACTTAACCAGTTCAAAAAAATTAAGGAGCAACCTATTACGTTACCTACGAAACCTGATCTCTTATAGGTTGTTATAATATAAACGGTTAAAGCCTTATAACTTAACCGGATTAAAAAATCAAGGCGCAACCTATTACTTTACCATCGAAATCAAATTTGTTATAGGTTATTATAATATAAATTATTAAAGTCCTATAACTTAACCTGTTAAAAAAAATCAACTGCAACCTATTACGTTACCATCGCAACCGAATTTCTTATAGATTATTATAATATAAACGGCTAAAGTCTTATAACTTAACCGGTTAAAAAAAATTCATGGCGCAACCTATTACGTTTCCATCGTAACAAATTTTTTTATAAGTTATTATAATATAAGTGGTTAAAACCTTATAACTTAATCGATTAAAAAAATTAATACGCAACATATTACGTTACCATCACAACCAAATTTCTTATAGGTTATTATAATATAAAGTGTTAAAACCTTATAACTTAACTGATTCACAAAACAACAATGCGCAACCTATTATGTTACGAAATTTTTAATAGGTTTTAATAATATAAACGATTATTCCCATAAGTATTGATATTTTTTCATAAGTATCGATATTTACCGGTCATATAAATTTTTCGGTTATGCTATTTTAAAATAATTTAAAATAGTTGCAACTTAATAATATTACATAAAAGTCAACATTTTCAGTCGTACTAAATCAATTTTTATTAAGATTTACTTCAAATTTTCAATTATGTTGTTTTTTAGCTTATATTATTGTCTTTCCTTAAATATTCCCTAGATATCCGGTAACTCTGATTATATTCAATTAATGATTGAATGTGTCGAAAAATTATTGGCAAACACGTATGTACTAGTTTGTGTGTTACAATCGCGGTAAACTACATCTTCAAATTATGTGTTTAATTTTAAATAAGTTTTTAAATCTTATAAATAAATTTTCAAAGTAGCGTTTCAATTAGATATTAAGTTGTTAATTGATATCAAATATTAACTTTGATCTCGTGTTTAAAAATATTTATTAATTTATACATATATACAAAATCTATATATTTTACCAACGGGTTGGTTCAAGTGATAAGCAATTTGATGTCGTTTAAGTAAGGTCTCAAGTTTGAATCCTTGTGTGTATGTAGAAAATCTCCATTGAGAGTCGCCTACCAAAATCAGGTTTACGACTCAGATCGGTCTAAATTAGTCAAGTCGAAGCTTTAGAACTTGAGGGCAACTAAAAAATCTATATATTTACAGACCAGTCTACCGATTATATTATTGCAATGCCTGATTTGAGTGACTTCAATTGCAATATTTTAGTGAGTGAAGCATAGCCATACACTCATCTTCATCAACCATACTGACCTTTGGGCCCATAACCATTAGTATTTGCAGCATAATTTAATGCTCCAAAACCCTAAAATGATACAAAAGCATCTGTCACTCCAGAGAAGCAGAGAAAAATTGTAGTTTTATATCACATACCTGGCAAGCCCTAATTCCATGCCTGACCTATCAAATGAGTCGCCGTCGCTATTGCCACCACTGTTGATGCCGTGTTCCAACGGGGATTAGCATGATTTTTCCACGTTATCCTCACCACCATGTAAATTTAGGTGAACTGCCAAAAATATTTAATAAATCTTTCGTTATTTTCCACCATGCATCACCTTGTCCGATGCTGTGGTGGAGAAAGGACCAGATTTTGAGGAGAAACTGTTTTTAATTATGCGCCTAAAATATTTGTCTTTTTCTACAGTTTAAAAGTCCGAAATTTATGGAGGAACAACAAGCAGTTCAAGTTCACAACCAACTAAATTATGCATCCAAACTTTCCATCCTTTTGTCCCATTATTCTATTTTTTCTGATAATCAATTATTTCACTTAGAAATTGATCAAATAGGCAGCGACCACATTTTCTAAAAAATTTAAATAATGTTATTAATAATATTATTTTTATTTTTATTTTATAGTATAACTTTATAAAAATTTACACCCGCACTATAAAATAATGTTCTTGTCCCTGATTTCACCAATTTTTATTATTAGCTGACCTTATTCCCATATGTAACGGGGTAAGGGGAGGTATGATAGTATGCTACCCCAACGCCAGGTTGAAAGCAGCTTCCGTGGGAAACCTCCGACAGTCAGAATTATGAATTGTCCACCGTGGGACTCGATCCCACGACCACAAAATTAAGAGCCTTATGCTCTACCAACTGAGCTGGACGGACAATTATATTTCACCAATTTCTATTCTATTTACTTAATCAAATTCAAAATTAAACACATATGCACATAACATGAAACCTAAACCATTAAAATACAAATATCTATGTCTACAATCTAACATATATTTTTTATCAATATAGGGTAAGTACAATATAATATTTGTTCAAAGATAACTTGTCAATCATTTTACATTGGATGCTCACATCCTTGTCATTTCTGATGCTCGAACCTATGATCTCAAGAAATAACAATAATTCCTTTACTACCAAGGTCATTTGTTTCGTGCATCTAACATATATTTATATTTGCAAGATAGATGATTTTTTGAGAAAAAATAAACTGTAGATAGGGTTACAAGAAAAGATTTGAGGGTAAGTTTTACGTTAATGTCACGGACCAAAGCCCACCACTGAGGTTAGCCCATGAGAAGTAGCCCAAATGGGGGTTTGGACCTTCTAGAAGCCACAAAGACTTAGGTGGCATTTAAATTTGTATAGATAATGCCCACTTGTTTTTGGTAGGTAAAGATTAATCTCGACCGTCGATGTAATTAGATCTTAGCCGTTCATTGAGGGGAGCTTTAGCTATAAATAGAGGCCTCCCCTCCTCATTTGTACTCACTCATTCACTTTGAGAAATCATAAGAGCATTCTTCTCTCAAAGCTTTCTTATATTCCTTCTTGTGCTAGTTCTCTTGTCTAGCTTCCGTCGAGGTTCTAAGCATCCTTGCTTGAGATATTTTCAGGCTTACTTAGCCGCAATCACTAAGAAAGCGACTAAGGCCGCACGTTCCGAGGCATCAAAGTTCCAAGGGCGTGACAAGTGGTATCAGAGCTAGTTCTACGGGAAATGGCACAACACAACCAAGACGAGGTCCTCACAAGCGAAGTGATGGAGACTCGCGCTGCCGTGGCAAAGAAACGAGGGAGCTCGAAGGATATCATGGCCTCGTTCGAGCAAAGGATCGATAGATTAGAAGACCGATATAATGAAGTCTAAGAGACTCAAGACTCGGTTGAATCTCGCTTGGAGAAGGTGGAGTCCGTAGAGGATATACTCAGTGAAGAAACCAAAGCACTCATCAGCAAGTTGACAGAGAACGTAGACAAACGTACCAGAGGCCTCGAGAGCATGTACTTGGCCATGAGGGCCGAAATAATGCGGGAGGTAAATGAGCTCAAGAGCGAGCTGCTCGTCTACAAGGCTACCGTGTTGAATGAAGTGACTGGGGAGGCGCAAGCACCAATACCCAGGATCGACGTCCCTAAGCCGAAGGAGTACAAGGGGAGTTGAAATGCCCAAGATGTGGAGAATTTCATTTGGGGCATGGAGCAATTCTTCTGTGGCATGGGTATCGAGGATGATACCACCAAGGTAAATGTTGCTTCCAATTATCTTAACGATGTTGCTATGTTATGGTGGCGTCGTAGGTGTTCCGAAAGTACGAATCCAATCGGAACGTGGGAAGAGTTCGTGGGAGAACTCAAGGAGCATTTCTATCCGAAAAATGTTGTACTCGAAGCTCGAGCAAAACTAAAGCAATTGAGACACGATCGTTCCATCTTGGAATATGTCAAAAACTTATGGAGATCAAGATGCAAATCCCGGACTTGGGCGAGTTAGAAGGGTACTTTGCATTCATGGATGGATTACAACGTTGGGACAACATGGAGATCCAAAGGAGGGGAGTGACCGAACTCTCCAAGGCGTTAGATGCAGCCGAGGCCATCGCCCCGTTTAAGGTAAAGAAGATCGACTCTCTCCAATCCAAGTCAAAACCCAAGGGTAATAGTGGGGGAGAGAAGGCCAAAGGCAACTTTCATAAGCCAACGGGAAGTCATGGGAAACCGAATGATCGACCCAAAAAGCTCTTCAATCCTTGGGAGAAGAAGGGGGAATTAACGTGCTTCAGTTGTGGAGGAAATCATATGAAAAGAGATTGTCCTCAACTTGTGAAAGTTGCTGCCATCAAGGAGAACGATGGGGTAGAGAGTGAGACTCTCAAGCTTGGCTCCATCTTTCGCACCATGGATGTAAAGAAGGGCCGCAAGAAGAAAGGATTGGTGTATAGACATCACCGTCGCAGGCCAAAAGATGAGCGCACTGGTGGACACAGGTGCCTCAGAATTGTTCATGTCCGAACAAATTGCCAAGAAACTTGACCTTTATGTGGAGAAGGAAACCGGATCCATCAAAACCGTGAATGCCGAAGAAGTTCCAATTTCGGGGGTCACAAAGGGAATCGAGATAACCGTCGGAGGTTGGTCCGGAAAGGAAGCCATCAAGGTAATCCCTCCCGATAAATTTGACTTTGTTCTTGGGTTAAGTTTTTTGGACCGAATAAATGCTTTCCCAGTGCCTTTTGTTGATTGCTTATGCATTCCGGATCCAAAGCAACAATGCATCGTTCCAGTGAGCCGAGGGCCCAGAATCGAGGCCAAGATGTTGTCCGCAATCCAATTCTCAAAGGGGGTGCGCAAGGAGGAACCCACCTTTATGGCTTCATTGGTGGAAACTGAACCCACAATGACTGAGGAAGTCCCAAGAGAAGTGGGACAAGTATTGGCGGAATTCAAAGATGTAATGTCTGCCGAGTTACCCAAGAAGTTACCTCCAAAGAGAGAGGTGGATCACAAGATTGAGCTTGTGGAGAATACGAAGCCACCCGCTCGGGCCCCTTACCGAATGGCTCCGCCCGAATTAGAGGAGATGCGCAAACAATTGAAAGATCTCCTCGATGCCGGATACATCCGACCATCCAAGTCCCCCTATGGTGCACCGGTGCTATTTCAAAAGAAGCACGATGGTTCTCTACGGATGTGCATAGATTATCGAGCTTTAAATAAGCTCACAGTAAAGAACAAGTATCCCATTCCCCTAATTGCGAACTTGTTTGATCAGCTTGGTGGTGCAAGGTGGTTCACCAAGCTAGATTTACGATCGGGCTATTACCAAGTCAAGATAGCCGAAGGAGATGAACCGAAGACAGCTTGTGTGACCAGGTACGGTTCTTACGAATACCTTGTGATGCCTTTTGGCCTCACGAATGCTCCAGCCACCTTCTGCACATTGATGAACAAGGTACTACAACCCTTTCTAGATCATTTCGTTGTTGTTTATCTTGACGATATTGTAGTATACAATAAGACCTTAGAGGAACACGTTAAACACTTGAGAAGGGTGTTCCAAGTCTTACGAGAGAACGAGCTCTATGTTAAAGAGGAAAAGTGCTCGTTCGCCAAGAAGGAAGTACCGTTCCTAGGCCATGTCGTTGGAGGAGGCAAGCTCCAGATGGACAAGGACAAGATTCGAGCAATTGACGAGTGGAAGCCACCCACCAAGGTGACCGAATTGTGAGCATTCTTGGGATTAGCCAACTATTACCGACGATTTATGAAGGGCTATTCCAAGATTGCCACACCTTTGACCGAGTTTCTCAATAAGGATAAGGTGTAGGAATGGACCACGAAATACCAAGACGCATTCGAAAAGATCAAGGAGACCATGGTGAGTGAGCCCGTGTTGGTGCTACCAGATTACACCAAACCTTTCATAGTTTTCACCGATGCGTCTGATGTTCCCATTGGTGGAGTCATCATGCAAGAGGGGCATCTGGTTGCATACGAGAGCCGAAAGCTCAATGAGACCGAGCGGAGGTACTCGGTTCATGAGAAGGAGATGACATCAGTTGTACACTGCTTGCGGACATGGCGACACTACTTGCTTGGGTCCAAATTCGTGGTGTTCACGGATAATGTTGCCAACAGTTACTTCCTCACCCAGAAGAAGCTTTCTCCCAAGCAAGCTCGTTGGCAAGAGTTTCTTGCCGAGTTTGACTTTTCCTTAGAGTACAAGCCGGGAAAGGTGAATTGTGTAGCAGATGGCTTAAGCCGGAGGTATGCCATCGAAACTGTAGAAGGTACTCTCATCGAGAGGATCAAAGAAGGATTACCCCATGATCCTGTGGCCGAACGAATCATTGAGGGAGCCAAAGAGGGGCGAACCCGGGAGTTTTGGCTCAAAGGAGAATTACTTTACCACCGAGGCCATCGTCTCTTTGTACCCCGATATGGGAAGTTACGTAAGGAGCTCATGAAGGAATGCCATGATTCCAAGTGGGCGGGACATCCGGGAGTTGATCGAACATTGGCATTACTCTCGGAGCAATACTATTGGCCGCACATGACTGAAGATGTGCAGGCCTATCTGAAGACTTGTCTTGTATGCCAACAAGATAAAATCGAGGCAAAGAAACCGACGGGACTGCTACAACCGTTTCCCATTCCTGAACGCCCATGGGAGAGTATTTCCATGGATTTTATTATTGGTTTGCCCAAAACTGATGGACTTTCAAGTATCATGGTTGTGGTTGACAGGTTTTCGAAGTACGCGACGTTCATACCCGCGTCTAAGGTGTGTCCAGCTGTAGAGGTCGCTCGACTTTTCCTTAAGCACGTGGTGAAGTATTGGGGAATGTCGAAAACCATCATTAGTGACCGGGACACGCGGTTCACTGGAGGTTCTGGACGGAGTTGTTCAAACTGATAGGATCGAGCTTGAACTTTTCCACCGCAGTTCATCCACAAACCGATGGGCAAACTGAGCGAGTGAATGCTCTATTAGAGATCTATCTGAGGCACTACGTGAGTGCCAACCAACGAGACTGGCCAAAGCTTTGGATGTGGCCCAATTTTCCTACAACTTGCAACGGAGTGAGGCGACAAACCAAAGTCCGTTCGAGATCGTGACCGGGCAACAACCGTTGACACCCAACACAGTTGTTACCAAGTATGAAGGGCCCAATCCATCAGCACACAACGTTACCAAGGAGTGGCACGAGTAACACGACTTAGCCCGAGCATGTTTGCACAAGGCGGGAAAGCGGACCAAGAAATGGGCAGACCGAAAACGAAGGGACATGAACTTTGAAGTTGGCGACCTTGTCCTTGCAAAGTTGGCCAACGTTTTGCGCCATGCGGATGTGCACAAGGGACTTGTGCGATACGAGGGTCCGTTCCGAATCGTGAATCGGGTAGGCACCATGGCCTACAAATTAGAGTTGCCTCCAACTATCCGAGCGTATCCCGTTATCCATGTTAGCCTGCTCAAGCCGTATCATCAGGATACCGAGGATCCAGATCGAGGCAAGTCGCACCGAGCACCAGTCGGAGTAGCGGTCTCATATGACAAAGAGATCCAAGACATACAAGCGGAAAGGGTTATTCGACGGCCAGGACACTGCCCAAGGCATGAGTACTTTATCCTGTGGAAGGGGCAACCCGAGTGCGAAGGGAGTTGGGAACATACTGAGGGACTTTGGCAATTCAAAAATAGAATAGACCAATATCATGCCAAACGAGTGACGAGGGGTCACCGAAACCAGTGGGGGAGAATGTCACGGACCAAAGCCCACCACCGAGGTTAGCCCATGAGAAGTAGCCCAAATGGGGGTTTGGACCTTCTAGAAGCCACAAAGACTTAGGTGGCATTTAAATTTGTATAGATAATGCCCACTTGTTTTTGGTAGGTAAAGATTAATCTCGACCGTCGATGTAATTAGATCTTAGCCGTTCATTGAGGGGAGCTTTAGCTATAAATAGAGGCCTCCCCTCCTCATTTGTACTCACTCCTTCACTTTGAGAAATCATAAGAGCATTCTTCTCTCAAAGCTTTCTTATCTTCCTTCTTGTGCTAGTTCTCTTGTCTAGCTTCCGTCGAGGTTCTAAGCATCCTTGCTTGGGATATTTTCAGGCTTACTTAACCGCAATCACTAAGAAAGCGACTAAGGCCGCACGTTCCGAGGCGTCAAAGTTCCAAGGGCGTGACATTAACATCAAACATCCCCAACTACTTTTGAAAAACAAGTGAAGGAATAAATTAATAATGCCGACATTTGATGTTAACAAAATTCATGCAAGTTTTATAATTTTGTTTCATTTGGAGAACATTATATCCTCGTATTCTTACCTTTTAAATTTGGTACTACTGGTTTTATTTTCAAAATTGAAAAATTAGATCATATTTACATATAAAGATGACCTCGTGAATAACTTGCATGATATTTAAACGAAATATCCCTGTCATGGATTAGATATGGTAGGTTGAATTTTGACGAAATAAAACCTGATTTCCTATTTTTATATTACATAACTTCAGCCCCTAAACCTCCTAACTAAAATTCAAACAATGGGCGTGTAAACTAATAGTAATGAAATCAACGTATGCCGAAAGCAAGCTTACCAAAAAGAAAAATTGTTTTTATACCAACCAGGTGAGTTAAATAATTCAACACTAGCAAATAACACAAGTTATAATGTTAATCACATGACATCAATTTAACCAAAAGAATTAACAATTAGTATAAATATTCATTTTTTATTAAATTTTTATATTAAATAAAAATTCAAGATAATTACTAAACATAGTTAAAATATTAAATGCTGAAGTTTTCTTTTCTATGGTTTGTGCCAAAAAAAAACAATGGCTGAAACTTACCGGATTAAGTAGGGGTGAGCATTCGATCGAGTCAAATCGAGTTCGAGTAAAAAAAATTGAGTTATCCAAGTTGACGAGCCATATTTTGCAACTCGAACTTAACTTGAAATTTTTTCAAGTTGAATCGAGTTTAAGACATTTGAGTCTTGTTATTCGAGTCGAATTATTTGAGTTTCTATGTTAATTTTATTATAATTGTTTATGATATTATGGTAAGGATTGGTTCCAAGTTTTTGACTTTTTCTAACCTTATAAGATATATACATATCATTTTTTTCACATTATAATGTTAATCTATCAAATTCAATCTAAAATTATAAAATATATTCATAATATTATTTTTCTTTATTTTGAGGAAAAAATACTGATGAGAGTATAAAAGAGTCAAGGAATTGATGGGAAGAAAGAATTTACAAACAATTGCAGTCAAAATGTTAATTTCAGTAAAATGCAATTTTAAGGGTCTAAATAAAAAAAGGGAGTACATTTTTAGTAAAAAATAAGAATTGAAGTCTCATAGGTATTTATAGTGGTATATAAGCATGTGGTTTAAATTTGGTAAAAAAAGACTTAAAATTAGGGATGGGCATGGGTCGGTTTTCGGCCAACCCAAGTTGACCCGATTTTTTGAGATAAAATCTCGAACCTGATCTGACCCGACCTGAAATAATAAAAAATATTATTATTTTCAATAAAAATAGTAATTTAATTGAAAAAAATTGAGGGACTAAATTGAAAAATAGAGAACTTATTATCGAAAAGATTGATTGAAAGTATATGTGTATTCTATGATGGTTTAAGAGCATGTGTTCAAATTTGGTTAAAAATAAACTTAAAATGAAAGATAAATTGAAGGAATAATGAAATCATAGACTAAATCATAAAACTGTCAAAATACAAGTCAATTTTTTTATATTTTGAGTAACTTGAAATTTCAAATTTCAACTAGACTCGAACTCAAAAACTGAAATGATAATTCGAGTTAATATAAATAACTCGACTCAAATAATTCAAAATTTAAAAAAAAATTAAAATTTTCAACTCTAGTTTTACTAATCCAATGATAAAGTTTATGGTTTTTTCTTTCTTTCATTTTATGGGTTTATTGTTGTTTGCAGTTGTGATAGCTTTAGAGTTGGGTATGGGTATGGGTATGGGTATGGTTAGAATTGGTTTGGGATTTCAATGGGTTTGGGTTTTGACGGTGATGTTTTAGGTGCTCCCCTCTGTTAATGGGGCTGGGGTTTATGTATGCGAGTTCTTGTGTTAACGATTGGAATTATTTTTATTTTGAAAAATAATTTGCATTAACTAAAATTTAAATTAAGTATTATATTTTTCAATTATGAATTAAATATTTAATGTAATTTAGCAGTCACCATTTTAAATATAATTAGGTTTGAATCCCTTTAGATTCATTTTCTTTTTTATTTCATAGTCACCAAGACTAAATTTTTTAAATTATTTTTAATTAAAATTAAGATTATATTGATAGAATATGTAATTAATAAGGATCATATTTTTATTTTAGTAATGAGATATCGTCAAATTTTAATTGTCACCCAATCAGTTTCTGAACGGTTAATGGTTGGTGGCTTAGTTGAACTAATTGGAAGTTTAATAACTCAAATTATAAAATACAACTCGAATAACTTAAAACTTTTAGCAATTAGTATTGATTTTCAAGTTAAGTAAAGTATATATGTATGATAAAATATGAATAAATATATATGTATTGAATATAGTTATAAAAAACAAATTAAATTGAAATCAAGTAGTATTATAATATTATAAATATTATAATTAAATTTAAACTGAAACTCGAAAACTCAACTTGAAAAAAAAATTAAACCAAAATTGAG